AAATAAATATATAGATTAACACTTACCGAAACTTCAATACCCTTCACACAGTTCATTATTTACAAAACTCTTTTTGGTGTTAGGTCCATACAGACTTTCATTGCAAACAATTGCTTAATGTATCCACTACATAATGGGTTCAACCAATTTTATTTATACACCAACTTCATCTGTTTGGATCTATAAATATCCAAATCTTCCTTGTGAAACAGTAAACTAACTACCGATGTGGGACCTGACCAATAGACAGAGACACAAACAAATTGGCTAATACGTCTGTGTATATTTATTATAGTCAAGAGACAAGTATCTTTACAAACCCTATGTACTTAAAAAAGCATAAGGAATAAATCTTCAAATGTAGAATATGTAAAATGTACAGTACAGTAAATGTACAGTATAAAAAATATCATAATATAATGAAGCAGATAAATTTAGAATTCTATTAGCATAAATAAAAATACCCACATCTGTATCTTCAGAAATTGAAATATTTATATTAGCAACATAAAAGTGTATGTATGAAGCAAACAAATTTTTAAATGCCTATTATTATTAATAAACCCAAAAAAACTGATTAATCAAATGAAATTTATTTCATTGGCTTCGAAATGGACTCAATTATGTACAATACCATTATTGACCTAATGATCCAAACATTTTCTGCAGGCTGGTTAAGGTTCAAGAAGAATATTCTATAAGATGCTATAAACATATCCGGTTCATGTAATTCTCAAGCAAACTCTCTTGTGTTTACACAGTTTCTTAGTTAACTTGTTCCCAAATATCTTTAGAAAACGGCGTATCCTGTACGAGTTCAGTATATATATGTCATATAATCATCCATTAATCTTTCAAAGACTTCTCTAACCAAAATTAATCGTTTATGGTAATACCTTCTGCTCAAAAAGTACTCGGATTTTGTAAATAAAACACACAAATATAAATTTTATTCCAAATTAATTTTATCTCCTTCAAAATATGCTCCTTCTGAAGCGATACACATATGCCAACGCTTAATCCAATCTTCCATACACTTTTGGTAGGCCCGTGAAGGTATGGCTTTTAGTTCCTTCAGCGAATTCTCTTTTACCGATTCAATCGTCTCAAAACGCTTACCACGAAGGCGCAAATTGAGTTTCGGGAACAGGAAAAAGTCGCACGGATACAGATCTGGCGAATATGGTTCCTGAGCGATGACAGTGGTGCCGTGTTTGGGTGTTTGGTCAACAAATCGTGTACAACAAGAATTTTCCATAGTAAAAATCGCTAAATGCACTTGAGGTAGTTTCACATTAACAGCTGCTGTAAACAAACTAATTGACAGATGGCGCTGAAATTTGTGCCATATGTCTTTGAAAAAGGTCTATTACTTAATGAGCTGTTAACAAACAACAAAATCCGCATATTTTTTGAGCAGAAGGTATGTTCAACACTTTTTAAACAGCTGGATATACTTATAACCACCATATAGTTCTTATTCCAAACAAGAACTAAAATGCTATGGTATTTTGCTCTGCACATCGCAGAAAACAATAGCAACTGCAATTGTGCAATATAAGATAAAGAGAAGGTATTAACCTATTTATGCTGTTCAATACTTTAGAAAATAGAAAGACGTTACTGGAATAAAAATGAAGGCACAATTAGTAATACCTCATAGCTTTTCGCAGAAATATCTAATCATTTAGATAAGAAATTTTTATGGATTGTAGTGACTACTAAAAGTTCCATCCTTTTTTATTTAACTGTTACTACTTTTTTACTAATCCTTTATTTTTACATTAATATTCTTATTAATAGTAATTCTTTATTGTAATGAGAGAAGATGTATTTATTGCGCGATTTTCATGTAAAAGTTTGCAACTTAAAGGTATAGTCCTTCAAGAACTGAGTCAAATCAATAAATAATGTAATAAACAAATTTCTTGGAATATAAAACTTTGCCAAAACTTATTTTCAAATCGCGACGTCCACCAATTTGGATTTGTATCTTATAATATCGCATTAAAGCTTATTCTGTATAAGTACCCAGCATAAGTAACATTAAATTCCAATAAAAAATAGTCACTAATAATGTGTGTTGCCAAACATATGATTAGCTGCAATGAATTGCACTGGAAGTACTTATGCATACTTTATAAACTTTATGCATAGATAAACTTCATACCAATATCAAGAAAAAAAATTGCAATGATATATTATAAACTTAAGTCAATTTACATACTAGAAAACTTTTCAAGTCATAAAACTAAAACAAGTAATAATATAAAAGATCTATATAAAGATTCTCAATAAGAAACATATCCCTTTATACAGATGAAACAACAGCCAAATATGATCGAATTGATTAAAAAGTCATATTTAAATCATAAATGTATGAAGACTAAAAGACTTCGAATTGAATTCTTGTGGTCAATATAAAGGTATCATCTGTAATAGTAGTGACTTCATGATATAAGAATTATGGAAGATCGACTATATACATTAAGTGCAGACAAAACCCGATTGTGCTTTCTTGAGAAAAAACAACCATTACATCAGTTTCCTTTGAAATTTAAGAATTACATAGCAATTTGAATATTCTAATGGCTATATATGTATGGTGCACCTTATGTAGATTTATAAATTATATAAAAAGTAATGAAAAAATTTAAATGAATACAAAAGTCAACTTCATATCATAATTTTAAGGAAATGAATATTAGTACCCTTACAAATTTAAAAAAAATACTCATACGCACTGTTGTCAGGTGTAGTCACATAGGTTGACAGTGAACACAAACAAATTTAAGTGGATAATATTACCATAAATAAATAACAAATTGCGGTGAAAATTTATAATCAATAGAGAGGTTTAACAATTTTTAAATAAATATGAAAACTAACCGGTTTTTAATTAAATAGTAAGTTTGCATAAATTATTTGAATCTAGTTGAGTCAGGTAATTTATTAGTTATATATTAAAGTTCTAACAGATGTATATTAAAATTAAAGTAAAATTCCAATCACTTGTTATGTATTTTGCAATATAATATAAAATTTCGTAATAATTCAATAAGAATATTAATTTTTTTATTAGATTGAACTTTAAAAATTATTAATAGTGTACTTAAAACTTTAGTCATAAAATGAAATAAAAATAAAAATATTTGTTTCGAGGCAAACCTTTGTCTTATAGGTATTTTCCAAATTCGTGAGGTGTAGTAAAAAAATCACTAATTATATTTTATTGTTTTTTTGGTGATTTTTGTGTAATTTTTGTGTAATTTAAGACTATTTCAGCCATGATTTCCTAGTACCATGACATATTTAAAGGTTCTTTTTGTTTTTTGGGAAATGAATGTATGTTTTCTAACCCCACAACTATCAGCATTAAGAGTGAAATACAAATTCTCATATAACAGATATATATCCATTACTAATTCAAGTTTAAAAATCTATAGCAATTTTACTGATTCACTAGAGCGGGTTATAATTGCTATATAGCTGAGTATGATATCAGAGCTAAAACATATTTTAAAAAAATTTAAACACTCACAAAGTAGAAACAGAATCAAGCCTATAAAACCCCTATAATATCTAAAATAATGATTCCTGAAAAATTGTTATAACTTATATCTGTATATGATTCATATAAATTTTTTTATTGATGCAAAAGAATAAAGAAAATAGTAATTAACATTAATATCTTGAGAACTAAACAATAGCCTATAGAAAGAACTTAATTAAGCAACGAATATGACATTAGATCGGTCACACTCTACGAAAACAACCAACAGAGGTATGTCATCAAGCACTCAATTGAAACCCACAGCGAACATGAATAAGTGGACGCCCCAAAATATCACGGAGAAGAACATTACACACCGAGATTTTAGCAACGATGAAATCGTGAAACAAGATTTCGCAAATACTCGGTCAAGTTGAAAATGCGTAACTGAGGCCCTATGCCCCACAAGGAGATAAAGGAATCATGAAAAAGAACAAGCATGGAGTGAATTTCATCTACTCAAAGTGTTCCAAAAAAAGTGAATACAGTTGCACTAACTGAAAAAATAATACTTTTTATTCCATAAAAATTTCAATGAGCAAGAGCTTAATTATGATGGACAAGCTGGCTAAACTGGTTAACTGATCACAATAATTTAATTCAAAGAAATAAAAAAAAAATAAAAAAAAGAAAACAGATTTGCAGAAAATCATACTTTTCTCATTGTGATACTGCTTTAGTCCATTAATTTGATATTACAAAATATTTAAATGATAAGAGTTATGGTGCGAAATCTTTTCAGGCCTAGTGTCGTCTTCAGTTTTGGTTGCATTTGATAATTGTGTTTAAAAAATAAAGAAAACAATTTATTTTATAAATATTCGTGAAACATAAAAAAGTACTGTGATTCAACTGATATAAGGAATCAAGATTAAAGAATACAATATTAAAAAATAATACAAAACTAACGTATCTTCTGCAACACATCACTGATTAATGTTAATCATACATATTATACACTTTTATATAATTGAATCCCTATTCTAAACTCCGTTTAGCATTTGTTATTATTTGAATGTCTTTTTGTATTTCTTCAAATAGGACTTGAAATATGAGAGAGTAAAACACACTGCTTTTAATATTTCATCCAAACATCACATAAATGTTCACTATATCTTTAATCTATTAAAAAATATAAATTATTTCCACCATTGCACCACTCATGACTTTGCTACAGAGAATTCTAAATGTTAATGCAATATTTCTGCAATTGTGATAGATAAAAAATCACTCAAAAATATTTTTAAATTATTTTTATTAGAAATAAATTCATTATAACTTTTATATCTAAAATGTCTTCATATTTAATATCTGCTTTTTTTTTTGTTATTTTATTGTTAGACGACTTTGAATATTATTAGTTAGTTTTAACATAATTAATTTAAATTTAAAATTTATTTTTTCAATATATTATTTAAATGAATAACAACTGTGATCAAAGACTCACGCATTCCATTGACCGAATCCGATTCCTTAGAAGCCGGCTTTGACACGCAAACACCGATTAGACACAACAATATTAACAATTTCATTATTAAGAATAATTAGTTATTAATTGTAAAAAAAAAATAATTTCACGATTATGATAATTATTTTCCTCTTTATTTTTAAGTTTTTAATTTCTATATTTTTTTATTAATAGTTTAACTTAAAACTTCTTCACAGACAAATGAACACAATCGTCTTTCACTTTTAACTGCAGTGAAATATCTGAACTGCATGCTTGAATCTACCTTCCTTATATCGCAAATCATTCATAAACACTGACATCAGAAAAAATGTATTCAAATTATATTGAATATATATATTTATAAAACCTTATGTGCTTAGAAATGTGTATTGAAAAAACTTTTATTGCAATAGCAAAGCAATTAAAAAACTATAGCCGGTCGTAATAGAAAATCCGATTTCTCTGATAATTAGATGGCATAGTTGCCTAATATCAAAGCATACATGCATTTCTTTCAAAAAGAATTATTAAAGAGAAATGCTAATACGAGAGATAATAAACTTACCATTTAGAGCAACAAAATTTTTTAAGAAGGACTAATTACTTCATATATAGCCTATATTTCCTATGTGCTATATTTCAGATACTCTAACAAATGAGTTTCATCCCTTTTATTATGGTTAGAGCACTAGGATCGAACTGAATCACAATCCAACTTTTGTGACACGAAACTCAATTTATTTTATTTAATTTATTTAATTTATTTTATTATAGGTATAACTTGAGCTCTTAGGTATTTATCTTTCTAACAATATGAAACTATAGCATTATAATCAACTTATTGAAGCCACAATTTACCTAATTTTTATAAAACTGTTATAATCAAACTTTCTCCAATTTTATACTAATAATTCCACTTCAAGTATTTACTTCCCAAAACTTTAAAACTTTCTAATTTTATAACATATATAATATATATGATGCTCTGTATTGAACTTAAAGGTTTTATATAAAGTTTAACTACAAATTCTAATTATTAAAAAGAACTAACTTTTATCTTCATTCATTTATATTTATAAAAGATGTAGTATGAATAATAAAAGTGGATTATTTTAAGTAGATTCCTATTCCAACTTACAGGTAATAGTCTATAGCTATTATCATTATATTTTATATACATTATATTATTGTCTTAAGTACCGTTCCATAGTTGTCAGCAAGACTAGCAAATATTAAAAATTATACGAGAACAAACAGATGTTTTTCAAAACATTATTTGGATTACATTTTTTTATATATACATAATTATGAAGAGTAATGACTATAGAAAGACTTTAGAATTCTTACCAATTCCATAAAGTGTTGAGGATTGATAAGAAGTTCTATTGAACCATATTGCAAAAATATTGTTTTAATGAATATATGTTTATTAAGCTCAAATTTCAAGGTACATAGGAGATAAAAAAGTAGATATCTTCAATTCGTATGCCAACATATGGTTTTTGTTGAGATTAAACTATAAAAAACAAATAATCTTATGTGCGTCCAAAGTGTGGGTCCAAAGAATTATTAAATAAAAACAGAATAATTTTTTCAATATTAAAACTACAATGATGACTTATTTTTTAGAGTGAATTATCTAACTATTTACAGATTACAATTAAAAATTAAACTCTCTCAAGGCAACTTTAACTTGAATGTCCTTGTCATATACAAGTGTAACTCAGAAATGTGAGAGAGCCGTAAGAGAATGAGAAATGGAGGTAGTGAGACCCGTTTAAAATATTTGAAAAAGTTTCGCAGTGTCTAGTGCTAATAATACGGTTTGCTTAAATATGTAGTGGAATAGGTTACTTTATATTCTACTAATACTTATGATGTATACATTTATTTAATAGTTTTTATTCTTATATATAAATATATGGATATAATGGTTTTTTTAATTTTCTTTTAATATATAAAATACTTTTCTTTTCTTTTAATACATATTAGTTTTTAAAAAAAAGCTTAAATTAATAAATATTTATGACATGGCATACAGTATAAATTAATATATTGTAACATTACTCTTTATATTGTATTGTAATTTATTAATCATTTTGTTAATTGATGATGCAGTTTGTCATGACCATACATAAACACAGATTTGAGAATACATCTAAGACGTAGCTTTTTAGTGTTTAAATAGTCAATTCCCATTCTTACCTCTGTTATCGAGATAACAGTTTGCGAGATTTGTGACAATCTCAATAATTTCTTAACAATATACAATTGTTTAGCAATCTACATAGCGTCTGATACATAGATTCCCCTTGGACCAAACCTAATCATAGAACAAATATATTTGTTTCATTTATAATTTTTTAAATTATAAATAATATATTATATTATTTTTGTGATGATATTTTGAGATTTTTGTGATCAGATCTTGTAGTAGTATCTTCTAATATTATCACCAGTTATAAAACATAAAAACCGGATAATGTATTACTACTACTGTATTAAAATGTACCTTTACTTAAAAAGTGCTCTTAATATACTCAAGGCTGACGTTTTCATTCAAATGAAACAATCTGATACGTCCATAAGCTTTGTTCTTTCACTATGTATCGTTTTAAGTAATGACAGATTTTTTATTCTTCTGTACGATAAAGATGGACATTGACAAATTAGATGAAATACACTTTTTTCTTTCCTTACACAATTACAACAAAAGTCGTTGTAGGAAAGACCAAGTCCTTCAATAGGAATAGTTTCAATAGGGAAGAGTCTACTAGAAAGTATTTTCTGTTAATTTAATGCTCCAAAATATTTTTTTTCGTTGCGTTTTTCCAGTTAATTATAATACTTATAATAACATTTACCAGCATTTTTATTTATATACATACCAATATATGCATAAGTAATATTTTTACCAGTGTTATTTCCAGAAGCTTTATTAAAAACATTCTGCTCAAAACTAGGACTAACCCTTTTACCATTTTTTTCCATAATTGCTTTTAAAAATAAATAAACTTCTCCAATGGTTCCAATGTTTCAGTATCAAAATATTAGTATTAAAAAAATATATCAAAATACTATAATCTTTTAACTTTAAACTATAATTGTTAAATAGTTCAAGACAACTCAATACTACAGTATCAGTGCTGATACTGTATTGATACTGATCTCTAATCCTGATGAAAAATCCTGTAGTATTATCGAGGGTAGGCCTATTAAATAAATGTGTTATCAACAGTAGTTTTAGAACTTACTAAACTTTCAATTTCTGTTTGAAAAATATTTGTTTTAATATTAATTAATAGTATTGAAACGTTTTGCTTTTTAAATACTTAAGAAATAGTGACTCTGCTTATTTGTGCTTCCAACTATTTTGCTAAAACTTTAAGTTTTTTCGCACATGTCTCAAAATGCCGCAAACCAAAGTCCAATGTGTCACATCTAAAATGTAGCTTCGGATATTTCACATACAATCTTTAGTAAATAATTTTTTCCTAACGATGAGTAAATCCGCATTGTATAAAATATATTGTCAAGTTTTTTTTTGCGAACATATGAGATTCACATATATAAAACATACGCAATTAATAAATAAAAATACAGCAAAATAAATTAAAATGATTATTAAATTAATTTTAAATGAAAAAAAAAGAATAGTGTACGTACCGAAGCATGACCTGAAAATAGGGTTCTATTGCTCAATTATTTAAAGAATAACATCAGGCATTGTTAACGAAATCAAAACAAATAAGATTAATGAACTTATTGTGTAAAATTATCACAAAAATAATTTTAAACTAAAATTTGCACACCAGTTTATTTACCAGTTAGATTTTATCAGAGCAGAACTCTAATATGAAAGCAAAACCAACCACAACTTACACACCCATCATAAGTCTCAAGCACTAATACATACTTTAATTAGATAAGGTTAGATTAAGAGAGCGTGTATGCTGATATAACTGTCACCACTTTCGCTCGATCACATTTCATTCCTATTATGATACCCTCATATTTGCGTGGAGTAGGCGAGATACACTAACCGTTGTCATACATTAAGACTGAAAAGTTTTCGGAAATTCTCATTTAAAATTCGCGCGCTGTATATTTTTCGATATTTTAAGTTTATGTAGTTTGGCAGCACTGTCCTTAATTACTATGCCAAAAATGAGCGCGATCTGTCAGACAGTTCGTTTACGGCAGCTGTTGAAACCAGTTCACCTCAGTAGTGCGTTGCGAAATGTCTTCGACGGTCGTACGACCGTCCTGAAAGGCTTTGTACCACTCATAAACTTGAGTTTTCGATAAAACTGATTCCCCATAAGCCTTTTGTAGCATTCGCAACGATTCTGCACACGAAATTTCGTTCGAAACACAAAATTTGATGCAAACTCTTTGTTCAATATTTTTTTCCATTGTTTTTTTCGCAACGCCCTACTGAGGTGAACTGGTTTCAACAGCTGCCGTAAACGAACTGTCTGACAGATCGCGCTCATTTTTGGCATAGTAATTTTCCTTAATTGCTGCCAAACTACATAAACTTAAAATATCGAAAAATATACAGCGCGCGAATTTTAAATGAGAATTTCCGAAAACTTTTCGGTCTTAATGTATTTTGATATTGTCATTGTTAAGTCATTTGGTGTCTCAGATAAAGCTAAGTGGATCCAATAAGTCTACTTTCACTATTACTGTCAGGTCAGTGAGAAAACGGTCTTCAAGATACTGATGTCGCTTCGTCTGCAGTTCACTTGTCAGTATGTGTTGACAAAAGTCATCAATACCGCTGGTGATGACTACTTCAAACTTGACATTTTTCTGCAAGCCAGCAGAAAGTATGGTCTCTATCGAAGACTAGTTTATTGCTGTCAGCATCCTGCATTCAATTTTTCGACAATATATTCAGTCAGAGTTGACTACGTCGATGATGGTTACCTGTAGCTCTAATTTTTTGGATTCTTATAAGCCTTCTTTTCAGATTTCTTTTTGGAAGTTTGTTCAATGTTTGAACAATACTTGTTCCTTCTGCGCAGAGAAGACGAATTATGATTAGGTTAAAACTTAGGAATCACCTTGTTGTTGGTAGATTGTGTAGATGGAATTTAATTGAATATTAACCTGCGTTCAGACGGACAAACCTGGCCACTGCATTGGAGTGGGACCAAAGGTTAATTGGGCGGAAGTTTGTGTGCGTTGTACGACAGGATAACAGGAAAATAGGAGATGGGCGATATAATGGAGAGTAGAACT